TGGAGTGAGCGGATGTAATATCATTGGCCTCAGAAAGATGTAATGTATGGAGAAACAAAAGATGAGGAAGGTCTATTTGGGGAAATTTGATTGAGATTAAGTAACCTACCTGATACGTCATCATCTTTTTCGATCTGCAATGATGCATTGTCGAGGTAATCGAAAATAGAATAGTACATTTTATTAATCATTCCGAATATAAAAAATTTTTTTTTCTAGTGTAAATAGTTTAAATGATATTTACCCCCATCTGCACTAAGTCTGACTCAATATCATCGGTGGGCAAAGCTTCTATAATGGGTAGTATGACTGTGTTAAGGAATATGCTTACACCCCTCCATTATTCTGTTAATATAAATTTACTAATCCTAAATTACGTAAAGGATATCTGCTGGAAATCCATGGCTCTCTTGAATAATCCTCAGCTCTGATATTTCTTGTAATTTATGCCGCCGATTGCGTGTGAGAATTTCTTTGTCTGGTAGCATTCCGTATCCTGGTTATTGGAATAAAAGAGAAACGCTGTTAATACAAATCAGTTCAACCATAGACTAAAAGGCAATTGATTCATTGATTCGGAGCAATACCGAATAGTATGCGGCCTTCGTCGAGCAATTTCTTCTCTTGATTTAATTTGAATTGACCGCGATGGATTACGCGAATTCGTTCTTGGAATAGTGCACTCTTTCGTAACTAATAAATTATCGACAAAGTAAAAATTGACAATTCTGATGAGAGTATGAGAATAAGTAGCATCATAAGGGGCATTAATCATGACGCCCCATAGAACTTACCATAAATTCACAATCTGCTTTATATGCAGCAGCCTGAAATTGATTTTGAAAACACATCCTCCCGTGTTTTTTTCTTGCTTCTGCGGTTTGTAGTCGCTTCTTTCGTCGCTTCTCTATTTCTTCCATACCCGTGACATACTCGGGATGTGTCCCTTATTGGATTAATTCGTATAAATTAGAATTATTCAATGGTAATCATTATGTACTATTTACCACGTAAGAACGTATCAAAAAGTAGGAAACAGACATCGTAGATATTGCTACTAAGCGTCATTATTAAATCTCTTCAATTATCTGTCATGTGATCGTCACCTATTACAATGCGTACCACATGATGCCCATAAAGAGTAATAAAACATGCACTGCTCCG